AGAAAATGGGAAATACAAGGGACCACTTCCTGAACATTACACCAGTAGCACAGATACTGAGATTAAAAATTAATAAATGAGACCTCCTGAAACTAAGAAGCTTCTGTAAGGCAAAGGACACAGTCACTGAGACAAAATGGCAGCCCACAGAATGGGAAAAGATCTTCACCAACCCCACATCCAACAGAGGGCTGATCTTCAAAATTTACAAAGAACTCAAGAAGCTAGTCTCCAAAACACCAAATAATCCAATTAAAAAGTGGGATATAGAACTCAATAGACAATTCTCAATAGAGGACTCTAAAATGGCTGAAAGTCACATAAGAAAGGGTTCAACATCCTTAGCCATCAGGTAAATGCAAATCAAAACAACTCTAAGATACCATCTTACTCCTATCAGAATGACTAAATTCAAAAACACCAGTGACTGTTTGTGCTTGAGAGGATATGGAGAAAGGGGAACACTCCTCCACTGCTGGTGCGAGTGCCAATTCCTACAGCCACTTTGGAAATCAGTATGGTGATTCCTCAGGAAAATGGGAATCAGTCTACCACAAGATCCAGCAATTCCACTCTTAGGCATATACCCAAAAGAAGAATATTCATACTACCAGGACATCTGTTCAATGATGTTCATAGCAGCATTATTTGTAATAGCCAGAACCTGGAAGCAACCTAGATGCCCCTCAACTGAAGAATGGATAGAGAACATCTGGTACATTTACACAATGGAGTACTACTCAGCAGGAAAAATAATGGAATCTTGAAACTCCCAGGCAAATGGATGGAACTTGAAGAAACCATTCTGAGCGAGGTCACCCAGTCACAAAAAGACAAACATAGTATGTACTCACTTATATATGGATTTTAGACATAAAGGATTACCAGCCTGCAGTCCACACCACCAGAGAAGCTAGAAAACAAGGAGGTCTCTAAGAGAGACATACATGGTCCTCCAGAGAAGTGGAAAGGGACAAGATCTCCTGAGCAAATTGGGAGAATGAGGGGAGGGGAGAGGGATCAAGGAGAATGAGAAGGGGAGAAGAGGAGGGGTGAGGAGGACATGAGACAATAGGAAGTTCAAACTGGGCGAAGAATAGAGGAGAGCAAGATAAGAGATACTATAACACAGAGAGCCATTATAGGTTTAAAGAGAAATCAGGTGCTAGGGAAATGTCTGGAGATCTACAAGAATGACACCAACTAACAATCTAAGCAACAGAGCAGACACTATCTTAAATACCCTCCCCTGATAATGAGATTGATGACTAACTTATATGCTATCCTATAGCCTTCACCCAGTAGCTGGTGGAAGTGGAAGAAGACACCCACAGCTAAACACTAAACTGAACTGGAATCCATTTGCTGAGAAGGAGGAGTGATGAGCAAAGGGTTCAAGACCAGGCTGTTAAAACCATCAGAAACAGCTGACCTGAACAAGGGAGAGCTCTTGCTCCCCATACTGATATCAGGAAACCAGCATCAGACTGATCCAGACCCCATGAATATGGGTGTCAGTGAGGAGACCTTGGAAATGGATGGAGCCTTTTGTGGTAGATCAGTACTTATCCCTAGCATAGGAATAGACTTTGGGAGCTCATAGAGGGATACTCCCTGACCTTAGACACACAGGGGTCTAGGATATGACAGTCTCTGAAGACCCCCTATTGAAAGCCTCACCCTCCCTGGGGAGCAGAAAGGGTATGGGATAGGTATGGTGTTAGTTGGTGGGGGCAAGAGGAGAGAGGAGGCAGAGGGAACTGGGATTGACATTTAAAATAATCTTGTTTCTAATTTAAATAAAAATGGAGAGAAAGAAAAAACAACAAAAAATAAAGTAGGAGAGAAGAGTGGTACATCAGCGGAAAGAATACTTTGGGACATACCTTAAAATAATTAAGGTAAATAACTATCGGGATTATTGTGTTGATTCAGGTGTATTTTGCCCAGATCCCAGAGATGTTAAACAGCCAGTAAAAAAGAGCTTCTAATTTTAAGTGTCCAGTACGATGATCTAGTATTAATTAGTGTCACCCAGAAAATAACATCCAAATAGAAGATAATTTTAATATTTTTAATTATGAGAATAATAAGTCATATAAAAAATCCCCCAAATTCTCAGTGGTACATATTCTCACAAAGAATGCAAAGAAATAGTAACTTTCACTACATATAAATATTTTATTTTTCCTAAACTAACATATTATTATAATTGTATTTACAAAAACATTGGTTCATTAAAGAAAACTTCATCCAATATCAGGATGTTTTGGAGCACTTACCAAATTGGAACTTATAATTGCTTCATAAAAAATCACTAATTATTTTATTCTGTTAATAGCCTATGTTGACTCTAAAGGAATACCGTACAAAATAAATGAAGATGCCAGAGTTGGTGATGTCTTTGAAAAAAATTAAAGACTGTCCTCCCAGATATGTTTACAATCCTTTCAGCTTATGGAATGATTACCCAAGTAGACATTCTATTTCAGTTTTTGCCTCTGTCCCCCAAGACAGATGCTTATGGAAGAGAATAATAGGTAAAGTCTTCAGAAACACAAATTGTCTTCAGAATGGTTTACAGAGAAAAATGCAAATTCATGTATGAGAATAAAAAGTTAGGGTGAAAGAAAATGAGAACCAGTAAGCAAGATACACAGAAGTAAACAGGACTGATTGAGTTATGTAAGATGATATAGAACAGAATGTACTCATAAATACATTCAGGTATAAATATGTCAAGACACATCTCAGAATTTAGACCTCTACTCTTTGACTTCTCATTTCTTAACTCAGGGATTGAGTAAATCACTTGTTTCTTGAACAGTTACTATCACCACCAGAACCTCAGGAAATAAAAGGGATGTCCTAACAGTATGCCAGATCTCTGGCATCGCTATGTGTTCTCAGGGAAAATTCCCTTTTCAGAGAATTCTGAACTATGTAAGAGTATAGAAAATGACTTGACAACCAGCACAAACACATCTATTTGTTGATGTCTACTCTTGATTGTCATTGTAATTTGACTAGCTACTTCCATTGTTGCTATCTTGACTGTGCCACAATGGTGGACATTAACCTGGAATTGTGAACTAAAATAACAATAACCCTTTTAGTATCTTAAACTGCTTTTGTCTGGGAATTTTATCACAGCAACAAAAAAGAAGCTAAGATTTTTCTGCACTATTTTTGTGTGGCAAGCACTTTTTCCTCTCTGACATTATCTTAAACTGCTTTTGTTTGGGAATTTTATCACAGCAATGGAAAAGAAACTAAGATTTTTCACACTATTTTTGAGTGGCAAGCACTTTCTCCTCTCTGACATTTCTCTAGCCAAGATCCATTATTTTCAAGCTTTAATTATTAAGCCTGAAGCTAACAAAGGTATAAATGAATGACTTTGTTAAGATTAAGTTATTTTTAAAAAGCAATACTAAGTAGTGTGTAGTAAATAGAGTTTATTCTGTGTTTTAAAATGTATGGAAATATTCTTTTAATAGTATAAAATATCATCAGGTAAATAATTTTGTTAAATGTATTTAGACACACTATTTTGTTTGAAATACCTAATAATACTTAGTATTAACATTTGTTTCTCACATTTTAAATTATTAGAAGATACAGGAAGATATGAATATTTATTTTTATATTCACTACCAGTAAAACAAATATCAGAAGAATAAACTTTTACAAGTGCACTTGTAAAGAAACATAAAATTAGATGCAGATGGTATTATTTTATTTCCTAATAAAAATCCATATTTTTATCTCTGTGTATGCATTATAATTATTCAAATTTACTAATATAATAAAAATAAGAACAGAAAACTCATAAAGAAAAACATTTTAAAATCTTTGTTCTTTTTTATTATTGAAAGTAGTTTTTTCATACAATTTACTCTGCAATGGTTGCCCCTCCCACAGTTCCCCCCAGAGCCTCCCCATCTCCCTACCCATTCAAATTTTTATTCTTTCTGGCTTTCTCTCTTCAAAACAAAACAAACCTAAAACAGCATCTAAAAAATAAAAAGACAAGAAATAAAAAAATAAACAACAAACAAATGTACAAAAAAGCAAAGGGGCAAGGAAAAAAACACAAGAAATATATAAAGGCTAAGAGTTACTCACAGGGAACTCTCATAAAGACACAAAATAGTAAACATATGAGCAAACAACCTATTGGGTTAGAAAAGAAAAAGAAAAAGAAATGCCTAGAAAAAGCATTATGAAACAAAAGTCCCTTCCAAAATACCATTTAGTTCATTTTGTGTTGGCCATCTACTGTTGGGCATGGGTCTCGGCCCTAAGAATTTGTATAGTCAATGAGACTCCATCTGAGAAAACTAATCTTTTCATTTGCAAGCAGTTATCAATTGGAAATAGCTTCTGGGAGAACTCCAGGAAAACAAGGCTTTCTAAACACAGCGGAACTCACAGGGGCTGTGGCAGCATGCACAAGGTCTGAAGAGGTCGGGGCCTGATAGGGTCCCAGTTCTTTAAATCTTAATCCATGACTTTACATGATGTCTTTGATCTTCTCAAAGATGCTAATAAACGCTAGACATGGGCACAATACTGTCAGAAACAAAATAGGGTGAAGTTGGAGGGGAAATGGATGCATGCGCCCATCCGGGGGTATTTATTTCATTTCTAGCATTTCAAAGTTTAAGAGGAACTTGACAGAAATCCCAGTTTCAGGCTTGTGTTTTACTTATTTCTCGGACTGTTTTTTGTTTGTTTGTTTGTTTGTTTTGTTTTGTTTTTGTAATAGCCATCTCCCTAACCCTTGGTGGCTTTTCTTTGGTTTCCTGGTGACAGATTTGGACGGGCAGAAACCAGAACAGAGGCCTCTGGCAACTCATTTCCATGAGTGTCATTCAGCAGCACAGACAGAAAGAAAGTAATTGATTTTGTGACAGAATTAACAAAAGCAACGTGTAATGCAAGGGCCAGCATGTGAGCAATAGTGCACCTCCGAAGAGGCAAGTTCGGTGTGTTACCTCCTGATTAGCTGAAGCTAGTTCCTCTTCCAGTGCAGAGACTCTCTCTAAAGAAACCCTCAGTCGCTCCCTTACCTAGAAGAAAAAATCAAAATATGTGCCGTAATGTACATCCCAGATATAGGAAGAAACTATGGTGAAGCCGTCATTAACACAAGAAAAATGGTTATTCTTCAAATATCTGTATCCCTAAGATCACAGACTCACATACCTTGTATGAGCAACATGAACACATTATCACCACAGAAGCATCGGTGTATCAAGGGGATGACCTTATATATAGCAAATCCTTTTGTAGGTGAACTGATAATTTTCCAGTGGGTTTGGAAATTGATTGTCCTTGCTCCAATTTCTGATTCATGGTAAGCAGAGACCAAGTTCAAAAATATAAGAAGGATATCCTTGCAAAACTGTTAGCGATCAAGCAAGTAAAATAGGCAAAATACATCTCTAAATGAAGTGATTTTTTTGTTGGCTTTTGGTGGATAACTTCCAAGTGATTTGTCTAAAATTAATGAGTTCTTGGAAAATTAAAACTGATTTGAATTTTTTTGAGTGACTACAAAGTGTTAATTATTTGGGAGTTCCCACCTTGTAGCCATATACCCTGGGAATAGGTGTTGCATGTTCTAGAACTAAGAATTTTTTAGTTTGAAAGCAGGGATGTCTTAAATTTGTTTCCTATATAACTGAAATTCACAGAACTGCTTCCTGACAACTTCTAAAATTGAAACCATCTATGATGGCACATTCCAGTCAGTCTCCAACCCTTCAAAGACTATGAGCTGAAGGCCAAATTGAGATATATAACAAATTACAGGCTAGCTCAGTCTACTTACTAAATCCTGTGTCAAAATAAATAAAATACCAGACCAAATCAAAATGAGAAAAAAAAACCAAATCATTGTATGTTTATACCAATATATAAACTTTATATTACATTTAACAAAGGCAAACTGCCCTAGGTAGATATGTATTTAATAGCTGTAGTAGTTTAATTTGCCTAAGAAATCAATAAACTATAGATTTAAGACACATTTCATTACGTTTCTGATTATTTATAAATTAATATATTTCCTATTAAACTTTATAGAAATTTCTTAATAAATATTCATTTTAATACTCTAGTTGTATCCCTGAAAACTAATTTTGCTATTTAATATCCTGTGTATTTTATCATATAGCATTGTTCTTAAATAATTAGGTTTAAATAAGTATATAAGCTAAATGTATGAATATGTGAATTATATAAAATTTTAAAGTTGGAATAATTGCCTTGTTAATTGTAGTGTATTTTTAACTTTAGGACAAAACACAAGTTGTAAAAGTCTCAAACATTTATGTTTAACATTCTATTATGCTAGTTGTATACAGTCAGGTGACTGAGTGTATTTTAACTGCTGAAGCATATCCCTACTATTGTTTGATGTTCTAATTTTTTGTATACTAGTAATACAAAATAGAATAACATTTAACATTAAAATCCTCTGCAGAGAATCCCTATTTAGCTCTGATTGATTGCGATACCTCAGTGATTTAGACAAATATAAAATTATTTATAAGAAAAGCAATGAATTAATTCTTATTAATAACTGAATAATACTTAGATGGAAGTCTATGTTTATCTGACTCAGAGTAGTGTAGAATATGGATCTTTATGAAGATCCCTGGTTGATGAGACATTCAGTACTATTAGTGATTTCCCTGTATCAGTATTTGCATGATTAGTGCACTCTCAGAATTCCAGAGAGAGGTTAAAGTACCACATTTTAACTGAAATGCTGTTACATCAGAATGTTTCTAACTAGTATTGGAATTGAATAAAGTTTGTCTGATTACAAGCTATAGTTTAAAATATACTATTTCTGTTAGCCTGAAAATCTTAGAGGGTCTTAGCTACTGATTTGTTTTACCACAAGTTAATCATTTCAAGAAATAAAATTCTTGAAGTCTATCAAGAAATATGAATAAGGAATTATTCTTTTCCATTATTTTACATGGTTCAACAAATAAGTATATATTAAGCACAAATTAATAAATATAAATTTATCTTTATATAAAAATGAGCACAGTTTAAATATGGTTTTAATTAATACTATGAATGCAAAAATTTTGGCTGATATTATCAATAAAGAATACCATAATAATGTTGAATTATTCATTTTCCTTCTCTGTTGTAGACAAAATTTCAGCTAGTCACATGTTAGCTTTATCTACCAAACTTTGTAAGGGAACGAAAGGAATGCAAATTCGTAAACTGTCTGTAGATAAGAATTTGATCATTTTTACCTTATCTGGTTGACTTCAGTTGTATAATAGAAAAAGTCAGTGTGCATCACAAATTTTTCAGCTCCTTGTTTTGCCTCAATTATTGTACTGACAGATATCATAATTTTTAACAATATTTTACTATGGATTATGTGCTCATGTATATTTAGGCAGACAAACTTGATGTCATGGAAAACAATAATTGTTTAATTAATTTTGCCTAAAGAAGAAATGCACAGTTGTAGTTGGAAGTTGTCCCTAATCACTAACCCTTCTCTTTTCATTGGATTGAACTACTGCTGTTCTGAAGTTTTGCCTTACTTGTTTTGCTTTCTGTACAGGTACATAATAACTTCCAATCATATTATTTGTATTCACCAAAAATTTGTTTCTAAATTAATCTTTTACTAGTCTTCAAAATGGCATGAAAATGCCTAATGAAACATTTTCTTCAAAATTTATCTCAAGGAGGTGACAATTTTATCATAGATGAAAAGAAAGCAAGTCCTTCAATATGACAAATGTATTGCCCAATGAAGAGGTTGATGGAAGAAATGAATATTCTAAATTGAAGTTAAGGTATTTCAGGTTTCATTTCTGTAATTACTGATTCTGTCATATAAAAATTATGGGGAAATCTTCTTACATCTGAAGTTCAAGTCCAGTTTGACCCTGTAATAGTTGACCATAAAAATATAATTGGTAGATATGGACTTACATACACATATTTGAAGTTCTTCGAGTTGCATTTGCCCTACTGTAGAAACAATTGAGGCTGATGCTGAAATTACTGTTGGCTGTAGTTAAGCTTGAAAAATCTACCTATGTCATTATTTATATAAATGAACAATATTTAAAACTGCAAGCCATTATAATGGTTCATACCCATGCTCAACTTTTTATAGTTTATTTATTTTCTATGGTAAAGTTGTAAGAATTTTTTGCCTGAGGCACAATTAATTACATTCTCTTATATTTTGTCTTTATTTTTATAATAGCCATAGCCTTTAGGTTAAAATAATAATTAGCTATTATAAACCTGTGCATTTACTCCTCCCTTTCGTCATAAGAAACTGCAAGTGACTCCCAAGGAAACTAACTGTCCATGAAGGATTTTGGGTACAAATTAGTTCCCCAACAGACAAATGAAATGCTATTTAAAACAAGCATCTGGGCCAAGAGGGAGATCACTTAGCTTCAAATTTGTAACAAGTGTTGACATTTTCAGACAATAATTAGAATATTCTTTGACATTAACGGAAAAATTCCTTATATTAAGCAGTAGTTCAAAGCTTTACATGTTTTATCATAGATGGCCATTGTAGCAGTTCCAGATAGATATGGTTATTGTCTATATCTGTGAAAGAGTACTACTTATATAGAGAATGTAAGCCATTTGGACAGACCTGCCTACCCAAGAGGGGAATCTCAGCATTTTATGAGGATAAGTTCATAGGCACCAGTTCAGTTGCTTGTGAACTTGCCAAGATCTATGACACTTGCAGAAAGTTTTAAAAAGCTACAATTGTTCATAGGGCTATGTTAAAGAATATTTTATTGACCTATACTCAGATGATGGAACTTGTTCATGATAATTGTTTTATATTCTTCTAAATGTGCTCACAGAACCAGGTTGCTGTCTTAAAAGTATTTGTTAATTTCTACTCTGGTCAAAGTCACTCACTCACTTAATGGATGTCGGAGTTCTTACAGGGAACATGAAAAGAAATCAAGTACTCTTTAATGTATTTATTTATGTCTTTTTTTTTGAGACAAGGTTTCTCTGTGTAGCTTTGGAGCCTGTCCTAGAACTAGCTCTTGTAGAACAGGCTGGTCTGGAACTCACAGAGATTCACCTGTCTCTGCCTTCCAAGTGCTGGGATTAAAGGTATGCACCACCACTGCCCAGTTTATTTAAATCTTTCAATAAACTACTTCTCTGGAAAGGCCATGCTGTTCTCCAGGTCGTATTACATACTGGATACTCTATGTATATTACATACTGGATACTCTCTATATATCTATCTCTGGCTTTTACTCATTCTTTAACCAGACAGTAATTTTGTGATGGTCTGGGGCTTTGTTCACTTGTGTTCTTAACTGTCATTGATGTGTGAATGCCTAGGACCCTGAAACCTTTAGTCACAAGATGAATGTTGTACTTTGTGTGACAAATCTGACACAAGTCAAATATTCTATAAATTTTTGCAGAATTTTATCATTGAATTTTCATGGCTAAAGGAAGTATAATAGAAAGTAAATACACACAATTATTTGATATTACACTTAACATGGCTATTTATATAACCTGTGTTTTTATCTTCTTCAAAGTTTTCATAGTTCTTGTCTCTTACAACCAAAATGAAAATGGGATACAGCTTCTTCTTAATAATCTAGAAGACAGAATTAGTGTTATCCTTGGACAGACATTTCACATGATCCTCTGCTCTAAGAACTAGTTGAGAGACTGATCATATATAAGTATATAAATATTAAGTGGAACTAAATTCTATGTACTCAAAACCTAGATATAAACTGGCAATAATCCCAAGCTTGAATTTTAATGCTCAGAACATGTCATATATTTTACAATGAAGTTCCCTAATTCTTGCTATGGTAAACCCTAACACTTTTACATTTTGTAATCACTCCTTTGAACTTCTACAAAATAGAAAATTGTGTCATAAACCTTACCTAATCTCTAAAGGATATTATCTCCAGATTGCCTTATATTTGCCAGTTGAACTTATTTAAATAGCAGCTAAGAGAGGCTTATAGCTACTCATGGAAAGACTGAAAAATGAGTTTTCCTTCTATTACATTATGTTGCTAGTAGTAGAAACTGTCAACATGTGAACTTGAAACTAAGATGTCAACACCACCCTTAAAAGTGAGGATTCAAACACAGATGTCTAACAGTTAAAGCATATCTGGTTTGCACTTCAAAATACATGTGGCTTTCAGTTACTGGTATGTTTTGTTTTGTTTTGTTTTGTTTTGTTTTGAATATATGACATCTATGGGCATGCACTTCAGAGAAAGGGAGAGGGAACGATGGTGGAGACAGAGATAGAGAGACTGAATACTAACCCAGTACTTGGTCTCTGGACCAGGGGTGTAAAAATGTAATAGATCTAATTCTGACAAGTTGTACATTCAGTGGTATAAATAAAAGCATGTGGTCAAGAATACTGTCCATACACAAACAGTTGCTGGTTTTTAAACAGTTTTTTTTTCTTAACTCAAAAGTGTTTCTTAGACTTAAAGTACATGCTCATTTGTGTGAAAATAAGCAGCTGCCAGCTCATAACAGAAGCACAGTTTGGCCTGAAGAATAGTATCTGTACTATACCTTTTCATCCAAGGCCTTGTGGTGTTCAAACAAGGATTTCAATGCCTTGAGGACCTCCACTTCACTGGACACTCCTGAGGGAGACTGGGCTTGCCGCTTCACCACTGTCATTCTTAGTGACCTTTCATGACGTGACACAAGGCACTCCAAGTGCTCCAGTAACAGCTGTTGAATAAAGAGAAAATATAGTTATCTTATGAGTACCTCTGACTAGCATATTTTTTGTGAACTCTAGCTTAAATTATTACAAGTTTTCACAGCGTCCATGATAACCCTAGGGAATACAATAGGTTAACTCAAGGTTTATAAGACACATCAAAGCAGAACACATGACTGCCTTCAGTCTTGTAACAAATCACTGAATAATAATTAATGCCATGCACTCTTCTAACACACTGGTTCTCAGACTTCCTAATGCTGAGTCCCTTTAACACAGTTCCTCATGTTGTGCTGATGCCTAGCCATAAAATTATTTTCATTACCACATCATAAATGTAGTGTTGCTACTGGTATGAATCATAATATTAATATCTGTGTTTTTCCTGTGGTCTTAGGTGATCCCTGTGAAAGCATCATTTGAACTTCAAATGGTGTCTGAGCCACAGGTTGAGAACATTTGTTCTAATAAGTATGACAACTTAGTTATGAAATCAGAAAGAATCAAAGACTCGAAAACCTGTGTAAAGACCAAAAAGATGGCTATTAGATAGCATTTATTCCTTAAATAAATACAATTGCATAATAATTTTAATGTAATGCTTTATTAATCCTTTGGGAATTGTTCTCAGAATATGCCACGATGTTGACTTTTTAAAAAAGTAGTTGTGTTCTATTTGTTTGTTGCAACATAAACGACATGAGAATGATAGCCTTTTATGCATTTAGGTAGAAGCCTCGAGACTCTCTGTGTACTTGGTAGCACCTCAGCTACATACACAAACATGTGGAAATACATGATGCATTTTTAAAGTAAAGGCATTTTCCCTGTGTGTGTGTGGATCTCTGTCAAAGTTAAACAAGGATTTTGGGTATTTTGAGTAAAATCTTAAAGGTTCAGTCTAATCACTATCAGTATAAGAAAATACACAATCATTTCAGTTAGATAATGTTCATGAAAAACCAAATATATGGTTACATCTTTTCCATAAATGTAGTGGAATTATGTAGATTCAATTAATATTTCTGAATCTTACACGGCTTGTACCAGTGTAGGATGAAAAGCATATGGGATAACATTAACTTGATGTAACAGCTGTTTTTAGAGACCTTGGAAATCTCATCGCTCTCTATTCTTTTGGAAAGTTCTTCCTTTCTTTATGTCTTTCTTCTTTTTGAGACAGAGTTTCTCTGTGTAACAGCTGTAGCTGTCCTGGAACTTGCTCTGTAGACCAGGCTGGCTTCGAACTCATGTAGATCCTCCTCCCTCTGGCCCCGGAGTGCTGGGATTAAATTCATAAATCACCACTGCCCAGAGAAAGCATCCTTTTTGATACATGAACACAGCAAGGGAATCTCAAGTCTCTACTGACCTGGAGAAACAGTTTCCTCGTCAGCTTTGCAGTGACTTTCTGGACTTGAGTTCTGAAAACTCAGACTATCTATGCTATTTTTCTTAGCAATTCGACTTAAAAAAAAAAAAAAGAATTCTTACTTCCCTTAAAAGGTAACTGCCTGTTTAAGGTAACTTCACTGAATTTTGTTTTCTAAGAGCACATTGACACTCAACTTATCTGGTCTTACTGACTGTACTGACTGTATAACTTTCTTATAATTATCATCCCATAGCCTGCTCACTTCCATTGTGTTAGCTTTCTGGTTATTTCAGTTCCCTCCCAACATTAGCCAATTCACAATTTATGGTGATGTTTATTATTCATTTAGATGCTTTTCCCAATATTTACCCTCAAAATTTACAAATTTTATGTATTCTTAAAAATCTAGATTTCCATTCTAATTTTACAAATTCACATCCAACGATTTCACTACAGACTGCCATTATCAGTAAGTTCAGCTCTTTCATAATTGCAGTTCTACCTGCTAAGCCACAGATTACTTTATTTATAGCTTGCCTATTTATATGTTTGTCCTCAAAATATACACTGACTCTCAAGTCTTGTACCACAGGGATTTGCTCTGTCATGCTCACACTCTGTAAAACACACTTTATGTTTTACATTCCCCTTTGCATACTCATTCTTTAAGTGTCTGTCAAGCTCTAGAATTCAGCCACCTGCCAGCACATCCACTGATGCCACGTGGGCTCAGGATTCATTTATCTCCTCCTGAATCAGTATAATAAAGGATTATTAACTGGAACTCACATTTGTATTCTCTCATTCATTGGGTTATTACCCAAACCTCTAAAATGAGCTAGTTCTACTCCAGTAACTCCTTACCTCTTCCTTTAATAGTCTCAACATTTTTTCTTTGGTTCCTCAAGTTGGACTTTGGTGTTATTTTTAATCTGTTATATTGTCAAATTCCTATCTGGGGTGAGTAGATATTTGTTCAGGTTTCTCTAGTAACATTGTCACACAACATAGACACATAACTTGCCTATTTATTATCAGAGGGATTTTATGACTAAAAATGTTTTATAATTTCCTATATTCTTAGGTGCATAGAAATGTTAAGCAATAAAGCTTGTTAGTATATTTCTATTAATATCAATTATAAGTTTTGAAATTTTTACCATTATATAATCATGCATATTATTAGTTTACTTGCTCACCTCCATTTAATTACTTGGGGAGCAGATGGCTTTAAGAACAAGTTGAAATTAGGATACTTCTTCTATTTACTTAATACTGAGGACTGGGCATTTCTTTGGTGACAAAAATTATTCATGACCAAAAATTTCAGTTCTGACTTAATAAATGCACTATTTCTTGAACAGCTAATAAAATTCATTAAAACTGAATTACAAAATTTAAAATGAACTCCTTTTGCATCAATTATATTTGGAGTCACATACAAACATGAAAATTTCTGAAATATAGGACCCACAATCACTAAAGCAGCAGATTATGTCCATATTACTTCCCTCAAAGTTATCCAGCTTTTAGATTTGGTAAAATTGCTGTGGGGCTATGATGGAGCATCCATGTAAACTTTTAGAAAAACCATCAGCCATTAATTAATGTCAAATACTAAGTTTGCATTATTATAAGCTTGTATATTTAACTCCATTCGTCTATCACAGAAATTGTGGTAAATGATATAATTCATTTAGCTATCATAATGAAGATTACTTTCTTTTTTTCAGGTTCTCATTCACTTTGATCCTTTTTTATTTAAATTAGAAACAAGCTTGTCTTACATGTCAATCCCAGTTCTATCTCCCTCCCTTCTTCCCCTGCCCCTCACTGACCCTCTATCCCATCTCCATTCTGCTCCCCAGGGAGGGTGAGACCTTCCATTTGGGGATCTTCAAAGTCTGTCATATCATTTGGAGCAGGGTCTAGACCCTCTCCCCTGTGTCTAGACTGAGAAACCATCCCTCTATGTGGAATGAGCCCCCAAAGTCCATTCCTATACTAGGGATGAACACTGATCCACCACAGGCCCCATAGATTAACCAGACCTCCAAACTCACTGGAACAGTCCTATGCTGGGGTCCCAGCTATCAGTCTGGGGTCCATGAAACCCACAGAAGCAGCTGACCTGAGCCGATTACTTTCTGATTTGTTGTTTTTGATGATAGTCCAACTTCATCATCATATCTAGTAGTTCCCCTTCTGAGTTGTCTTTTTCTGTTGTTTCAATTCATAAGTAGATGCTAACTCAATAATGTGGAAAAGTCCAAAGGTTTATCTGAACCCTAGAAATTAGAACACTATTTTCCAATTAAACTCACAACTGTACATAGTCAGGTACTCTTTAGTAGTGAGAAAGAAGTTTGTGTTGTCTTGATGCTCACTTTCCAGTAGTAATGTGTAGGTGTTCATTCCAAGGCACAAGTTATTAAATAAACCTATATGAAATACTGTCATATATACCTATATCAATGTATATTTAATATGGCATTTAGGGGAAGAGGAAGTTATGTTTGAATCTTAGAGCTATAGCTTTATTTTTGTTTTCAATGGAATCAAAGAGGACTGAAGTGGCTATGTAAGAAGTCAGTATATTATCAAGATTTTATATTCCATAAGATTCAAAAGTATGTTTTCTTTGATATAATATACAACCAGACATCCTTACCTCTTTAAGGAACACAGAAAAATTTTGTTCATGCACATTTGATAAGCATTAGTAGCTATCGATCTTGCTTCTAATCAACAACTTCATTGTTTTGGCCTTGTTGTCATAAGAAAAGCTTTGCCTCCTTCTCTCTCTGATCTTAGCTGGTATATCAAGATAGCTCCCCACACCCTTGTGAGACTTTGCACATAAAGAGCCAAATGTGCTTGCGCACTCAGGGTTTAACATGTTGAAAATCATGTGGCTACAGAAACAAATCCCAATCCTAATATCAGTCACAATTAAACAAATGACATATGTCACATAGCAGGGTGTTGACTCTCAGGCATTGTTTCATCTAAGCCATGATAAATCTTTGAGATCCTGTGCGGGTATAATGTGGGTAGTTCTCCCAGTGGCTTCGTGGATCTGTACAGGCTCTGCATGCACTGTATTACCTTTCTAATCCTGGGTTATTTTGTTGTGACCTTCAATACATTTGACTTGCTTTGTCTTTAAAGTGGGGATAAACACAGTATATTCTTCACATGGTTGTAAAATGGAATAAATGAATGAAGAATGAAAAGACATAGATAGATGTACATATGTAGGTAACAAAATGATCTGGTGCATTTTTTAATGTGAGGATTTTCCTGAAAATAAAACAGAAGGTCTTTATTTTCTGTAATTCTCATGTTTCTTCTCCCACTTTCACATTTGTGATAGCAGAAAATGTTGCTTAACCTATGCAAATTCAAAATAACAGGACAGGGCATTACAAATAGTATGGCAGAAATAGATACACTTGCATGGAAACACAGTACTATTTTAAAAATCAAGAGTGAAAAAAAAAACAAAAAACACAGGGAGTGAAACCAAAATTTTCAGCACATGGTCCAAACTGCCCTTGCCATGCTGTATTAGAGGCGAACTATGTGACCTGCTTGTCAAAGCCTCGATGGAAACCAATTCCCATGCACAATGCACATGTGTGAATTCTTTTCACCATACAATCAGAACCTGATAAATAAAGACAGAAGTGAGTTTGATGGTATATCCCTCATGCATGCAAAGCCACCTCTCACTGGAGGCACCAGCAATGCCTGTGGAGTTACATTTGCACATCACTGCAAGGCCAAATGCAAAAAAGTTGGCTGCTAATTACACTTTTAGTGCAGAGGATTAACCCAGGAAGACTATGGCACTTAATATAATTTCACCTTATTAATGATAAAATTGCATTTATGACCATATGAAAGTGGTTTCTCCTTCCATTTAGCTATGACATTACAATAATTTGTGAGTAATATAATTAGTTATTTATTCTATGAAATTCAGTAATATTTTATTCTGGTCCACAAAAAAACACATTATCATTGATCTAACTCTGAACTTTATTCTTACATGGCACATCATCTGACTGACAATGTGTAGGAATTCCCAAGAGGAGAATGAAGAAAATATCTGTTTTATCATATAATAGAATGACGATTAGAACTATCAGCCTCTAAGACATATAATGAAATAAACATGGTAAGCCTCTTTTAATTGGTAGATGTTGACCCAATAGCTTTCTGACTTGAATTTCTTTTTCTTTATTTTTAAATAAGTTCTTTGCTAGAATGAATTGTTGACCAAATGCAGGCCACTGCAATGTTGCTGCCTGTCCCTTACTCTCTTTTAAAAGACTATGAATTAAAGGCCAGAAGAAATGGGGACATTTTGCAGGGCAACGTAGTGATTTAGCAAAGACTATAATTTTGGTTTCCTTTCTTTTTATTTTGGGTATTATAACATGTTTCCTTCTTTTTGAAGTAAGTGACTGTGAATTGGAATCTGCTCAAAGAACTCCTAAAGTTTTGGGAAGTTTTTAGATGTGTGTTCTGATACAGGACAATAGACTATTTATAGCAAAAAAAAAAAGTTTAATACTTACTCTTGTGTTGTTTCTTTCAGCTTTCAGCTCTGAGATCTCTTCTTCCTTTTCTAGAAGTTGTTCCCTGCAAGCATTCAGTTCTTTAGTCAGTGCAGCAAATTCCTGAAAGAGAAAACAAAATATTTGAAGATGTGTTTGAAAAAAAAAAAAAAAAAAAAACCTCAAGTAGGAACAACATAATATAAGACATAAACTTCAAATGATTAAAATTAATAAGAAAACTAATATAGTTGACTGACCATGGAACACTGCTATCATTTAAATATCTTGATTCATGGTCCAATAAATATAATCCATGACATTTATCTAATCCATACATTTAAGATTGGCATAATATGGCTTCTTATACATGCTTATCAATTACTTTGAACTTAATGTTAGTCTAAATTATTGTTAGAGTGCTTTAAATAAATTTGTGATGAAGTTCTATAAACTTAGAATGATTCATTTATAGTTAATAAAGTAGATCACCACCACAACACACACCCCTGATTGATGTGCTATGATTTAGAGCTGTAATGCAAGCAGATATTGCACAAATTAAATAACCACCAAACATTTTAATACTTTTCTTCCAACATTTATCTCTATCCACTGTTCCATTATTACTGTTGTAATGAAATGAGAAACATTGTTTTAAAAGGACTCTGCACCAACAGCTAGAGCGTCTGCATGGGACTGACCTAGGCCCTCTGCATGTGACAGCTGTGTAGCATAGTCTGTTTGTGGGGCCCCTAGCAGTGGGGTCAGGACCTATGCCTGGCACCTTAGCCAGCCCTTTGGAACCTATTCCCTATGCTGGATGTCTTGCCCAGCCTTGTTGCAGGGGGAGCAACCTGGTTCTGCCTCAACTTGATATGTCATGCTTCCTTGACTACCATTGGATTCCTGCCCCTTTCTGAACAAAGGACAAGTGGATGGGTGTGGGGGGAGGAGTAGACGAGAGGTAGGGGGAGAGAAAAGGTAGAGAGGAGGGAAGGGAAAGTGTGGTTGGTGTGTAAATTAAATGAAAAAAATAATTAAAAAGAAAAATAAGTATAGTACATCAAACAGTGTTACAATGACTGAATTGTTACAAACACAAGAACTTCAAGCCATTTGTGTTTTATTATTTCATCAGTTTTCATGACCTAGTTAGCACTGCCAAATTGACATAGCCTAGAATCACCTATCAAAAAAGCCTTAATATGTAATTGTCTTTAACAGATTTGTCTACGAACATATCTGTGAGGGATTGTCTTGATTATCTTTACTGATTTAGAAGGCCCGCCCCCCTGGTAAGGTTCTGGGCTGTATATGAGATTTAGTAAGAATAAGCCTATGAGTGAGCCTGATAGTGACCCAACAAGCAGCCCTCCTTCCTCCATGGATCCTACCTTGAGTTTCTTCCTTACTTCCCTAATGAAGTATCATGACCTAAGAGTTGTAAGATAGAAAAAAACCCTTACTCCCTTAAGTTGTTTTGGTCATCATGTTTTTATAGTAACAGAAAGGAAAGTATAAATAAATCTCTAATATGACATGAAAACCACACAGAGAACTCCAGAACTCAGATTATGTGCAACAGGAACATATTGAATCATTGCTGGAGCTGGCTGTGCCCATTGCTCATTTATGTCAAAGATGTTTCACTCTCTTCATTCTTTTTCTTCTGATTCAAGCTTTCTCCTGCTTTGTCTTTCCTTTAATCTCTGTAAAATATGTAGACTTCCCAAACTTACAAAACTTTGGGAAGGTTCTACTTCCAAAAATGCCACCTTTATATTCTTTAAGTTTTAAAATTCAAGCTATACAAAATGAAAATAATTCGAAATGTGTTTGTTATGAATAGACATTTGGACTACCATTTTAAGCAGTAGGTATCTAGTTTTTTTTGTTGTGTTTGGAGTTAGATACTATATGAACTATCTTATAGATTACATATTTAAGTATATGGGTTGCAAAGCTTGATAGTGATAAACAACCTATTTAAATGTATAAAACCTTACAATTACCCACTATAACCCCAAACTCTGATTTCTGATGCCCTGACTCTAGCCAAAGATGAAAAGTATCTTGGGAAATTTTTCACTCAGCTGTATCAAGTGTATTATTTTTTCACACATTCATGAATTATTTTATCCATGCATCCACCCATCCATGCATCCACCATCCATACATCCATCTGTGCCATAATGTATATATCTAACCAACCAATATTTATTGGCTACTTCCTGCCTACCATAGTCTATGTTGAATACTGAAGTAGCAAAGGTAAAAAAAAATACTGTTATTTCACCTTGCCTAACACAGTGTTCAAAATTCATATTGTGTGATTTCGATCATTCTCAAAGACTTAGTATCCATTGCCAAAGTGTTACACCAATGATAACATTAGTTAAAAACACTGGATACCATGAAGCTGCATCACATTGGTCATACTCAGGAAGCATACATATAACCCACATTTTATTTCTCTTTTCTAGTGTCTCTAAATCCATATTATTTAAAATACTTATATACAATTCCAGGAAGAAAATGCATAGCCAAGGGGATTTGAGAAATAATATATGCCATTAGAAGTCTATAAATAGTAGTGAAAATGTTAATGATTGTGAGCCAAACTTTTGTGATCAAGAGCTGTCAACAGTGCACAGTTATAGCTACAAGAAATTAATAAACTAGTATGGTAACTCCACATGTTGGCATCTTATGCCAGGAGCACAATGCTTAAGTCAGATCTTCACTTAGAAAAAAGAGGACTTCAAAAATATAATATTTGACAGGATATTATTAGAAAGTGAAGTCAACAAAGGTTAAATGCTAAAACTTTGTTCACATTTTGGAAAGTCTAAGCAAAGCACTCTGTAGGAGAAGCTGAACTTTCTCTAAGGGAATGAGATACAAGGAATAGGTACATTACAGCAGAAACACACAGTTCTCCAGACTATTCATTTTGTTCTCTAACCATAATTTGGAAATTTCTTACTTTTCCAATAAACAGAATTATTTTTGTTTAGTCTATGTTTTTCTTGGAATTTTAAAGAGTGGTCAGAATCTATAAAAGCCAATGGCATAAAATACCTTCAGACTGAAGGGAGTAGTACCCTTTCTGTCTTGGCATCACTCATGTATATTATACACATTCCTTTGAACACTCAGTATGCTCTGTATGCAAAACAACATTAAAGAAAAAGTTGCAACAGTTAATATATTTATATCCATCTGGACTTTTACTCCTAGCAATATTTAATCTGATTTAAGGCTAGATAGCCACATTCCATTCTTTTTTCACACTCAACTCATGATACAGTGTCCATTTCTTTAAAACCAAAAAAGTAACTTCTATCCCATTAATGTTTTTAAATAATTGAGGGTGGCATTTCTCATATACCACTACAGTTATGTCATTTCTCTGTATTCCCACTTTTGAGACACATGTCTCTGAAATCATACAAAATATAAAGGGCTCTACTTCAGTTAATTTCTCTAGATTGCCATCTATTTGTCCTACCCTCCACATTCTCCTGAGATATTTATTTTTATGGTAACTTTTTAAAATGGTTTTAAACAAGAAAAGCCCTTAAAATTGTACCTATCATACTACTTATTCATCATGGATACCTTATTTTCCTAAGAACACAAACGAGAAAACTTGGACAAAGTAAATTGGAGTAAGTAACTCTACCCAGACCCATGAGAGGATGTTGCAGTATCAGCAAGTAGCAGCAACAGCATCACTCTCCCCAAGTCTGTCAGATAGCAGAGAAAAAAGTCACCAGCTCTGGGTCCTAATTGTGCTTTCTTCTTGTGTATTCACATCTGAACTAAGGTGAGCCTGAAGAATCTGTAACTTGAGTGGTTTAGCTGTTCATATCTCAAATGACAACCATTAGTCCAACGGGTTCCATTCACTCAGGTTTTCTTCTGTGGTTTTATTTTTTTTTATCAATATTCAGGTGGGTTTTGAAACGTAGGACAGGCTGGCCTCAAGCATGTATCTTCTTTCCTCAGTCTCTTGAGTTTTGGGACTGCAGGCATGAACTTCCTTCATAATCAGTTTAGTACTTTGAACCAGTTTTTGTTTTGGTCTCTTCGTGTACCTCAGTAGACATGAACTCAGTTCTTATGCCTTTTTGCAGTCTCTACCAGTAATCTCAGTAGAAGGAGGAAGAATGTGTAGATTAAGAACAGTGTATTGCTTTCTGCTCTTCCACTCAGATCTCTTTCCACTCTGTCTTCCATCAGCAGCTGTCAGGCTTCCTCCAACAGATAACAGCAAATCTACCTTTGCATATGTTCATCATGAATCTTAGATATCTTATACTAACTATCTGACCCTGCTACCTTCCTGACTCAATTTTATATGGTTTGTTTACTTGAAATTTAATTATGAAAGATGAGATCACACACACACACACACACACACACACACACACACACACACACTTACTAAATGTTTAAAAGCACTTATTTCATAGGCAAATGCTTGTTTAAAAAAAAACAAGGCAGAAACTGCATGCCAAGAAGAGAGAATTCAACCTTTCTATTTCCGTGGCACCAAGCAGTCTCCAGAGAATTTCTGGAAATTTACTCACTCATCCTGATGACAATTTTAGCACTCTGCTTTTCAATTAAACCTGCATTTTCTCTTTGTGTGAGTCACTTAATTAACAAGGCCACATGGTCTTATTTTGTCAGCTATATATCTGAATAAATACCAGTTAAAGACCCAGGAGTACCAACCAGAGTAGGAAAGAAGAGAGAAAATAAGGGGTGAGTTGAGAATCAGGTTCACTAAACACCATCAACATCCTCCCCAACCACAAATAAGCATGTTTGTGTTTTATTCCCCAAACATTGATGACAATCAAAACCTAGTTATCAAGAAAGAAGGTACTGTACAAAATCATGCTGAGAGGACCACCTAGAAGTGGATTCGACACATCAGCCATTTTAACTGTAATAATTTTTTGAGATTATAATATAATTATATCATTTCCCCTTCCTTTTCTTCTCTCTAAACCCTCCCACATAACTATCTTTGTTCTTTTATTCAAAGTCATGTCCTGCTTTTTTCATTCATCCTTGTTACAAATGTATATGAATATGTACATCTTTGT